ACCCCAGTCCGGAGAGGGGCCCGACTCCGACGCCAGCAACTCCCGTCTCTCCTCTCCGAGCCCGAGGAACGCACGCCAGGAGACAAACATTAACCCGGCCCCGGCTCCTGCCTGGGGGAGACGCCTGGGAACACAAAAGCGGCTGATTTTTCTGGGTCTCCGCACAGTCGCCTTCAAATATCCGAGATTTTTCTAAGGGGGTTTTGCAACCCGTTACTGCAGGAGAAGCTTCGAGGGGAGTGGGGGAAGCTGAGCAGACAGGTGATGAGGGGGAGGAGAGACAGCGTTCCCCCTGGGATTAACAACTCCCCGGCTCCTCCAAAAGGGATTTTAGTCGCTTTGGGGCCACGACTCGCCCCGGGGAGAGGGATGGTGCAACACACTTCCTCCCTCCAAAAACCCCGTGGGCGGAAGGAGGGGAAACGCCAGCCCTGCCCTCACCCTTCCACCCCTACCGGTTCCCGTGCACGATGACACCTTATCGTCTGAAGGCCACGACTGACATTTTGCAATCCCCTTACGCATCCTGGGTACCAGAAACAACTAATTGCTTGATAAACACGTCCCTTGAATAAAGGCCGGGGGAAGCTGCGGAGCGCGGCTCCGCTGACCGCCCCAGCTCTGCCAGGATTGCCCTAAAACCACACTTTTTCAGACGAGGACCGGGCGTTTCATTCAAGGGAAGGCAACAGGAGAAACCTCCCCGCAGATGGGGCTGGTTAATGTTTAGGAAGCGAGCCCGGCCGGGAAAAGGAGCCGTCCTCGTGCCCCGTGTCCGGCTCCTCGGTGTTCCTCGCCGCGGGGGAGGCAGGTGAACGGGGGCAGAGGACGATTTCGCAACTCCGCCGTAGCAGGCTGCGAAGCGGAACTGAGTCACAGGGCGATGGGGAAGCAGCCAGGCACGCTTTTATTAGCGACCGCCAGCGTTTTAAATGCTTGTGTGCGGCCCGAGCACCCTGTATCATCAGGATAATGACACCGTAAGGGCAAACAGGAATTTTCTGCTGGAGGGGAGCGGAAGGAATGAACCTAAACGTGTCCCTGCCGCAACCCACGCTCTGCTCCCCTCTCCCCTGCAGCCCCCCAGTGGCAGCACAACGCATCTGAAGAGGGCCGACGAGCTATTTTTTTAACCGACGAGCTATTTTTTTTAACCGTGTTGCGCTCTGACTGGGGATTTAACACATTCTGGGGAAGAAAGGATTGTCGCAATCTGTCGCGGAAGCCTCCGGCGGAACAGACACCGACTTTTCGGTGTCGAGGGCAGCGGCTGTTCGAAAATGAGCCCAAACAGAACCCACGCTGCCGGCACGTGCTCTCAACGAGATGTATGCCGAAACGCCGCCAAATTATAGAAACCTCTTCTCTCCTTTGCCACTTCCAGGGCGGCTTTCACCCCCCCCCAGAGCAGGCGTCTTCCCCAGCAGTCAAAACTCCGTTCGAGGAACTCTCCGGAACCGTTACCGAAACATTCAAACGCTCGTTAAAACGACAAATCTGCGAAGAGCGTGGGCGAGCAGCCGAAGGCCGGCGGCACTGCCCATCGGGAGGGCAGACGGAGCCGCGTTTGCTGCGGTCGAGGTTTCAACCGCCCTCTCCCTCTCGCGACGGGGGGGAACCGGGCAGATTCTCCCGCCCAGAGCGTACCTGTCTTGGAGAAGATGAGCTGCAGGATGAGCGGCCGCCGAGTGACGATTCCAGAGCCTCGGGGAAGGAAATCCCTGCAAGGAATTGAAAGACAGATATGTGGTTAAATACACAAGTTAACGCTGTAATGAGTTGACCGCCCCGATATCTAAACACCGAGGGATGGCATGCGGGGGCTCGAAAACACGTGGATCCTACACGGGATCAGTTCCTGCTCCGCAGTGGGAGCTGGGAGAGGGTACAAGATGCTCCCGGGACCACGGATGCCCGCGGCAGGACAGGAACGCGCTCTCCCCGTGCCTGTTCCCGTCTCAAGGCCATCCTCCCGCCCCGCCGCTATCTTCCCCTGCGGCAAAGAGCCCCGGCTG